AGACTAATGTCAGATTGATGGGGAGCTCACCTTCCACTCCTTAAGAAGTGGGGTGACCCCTTTGTCTCCCAGCTCCAGCTACTTCATGTCCCTCCAGGCCTCTGTTTCCTGACAGATGTTACTGAACATACCTGACTGGCTTGTCCAGCTCTGGGCTAGCTTGGCATCATGTGAAAGATAACCCAGGTAGCTTCCCAGAGGCTGGTCTGATCTGTGCTGCTCATGTTCCCTGCCACCAGGTGGCATTGACCCCATCCTCCGGGGCCTCATGGCCACCCCTGCCAAGCTGAACCGTCAGGATGCCATGTTAGTGGATGAGCTCCGGGACCGACTATTTCGGCAAGTGAGGAGGATCGGGCTGGACCTGGCGGCTCTCAACATGCAGCGAAGCCGGGACCACGGCCTTCCAGGTGAGGGTGCTGTCCGCCTCTTCTCCCAGCTTTGCTCAGGCCAGGCTGCTCAGGGGGTTCTGGGAAGACCCCAGTACCTCCTTTCTGACTGGTGGTGCAGAGGCATGCAAGGCAAGGTCAATGTCCTAGAGCACCCCTGGAACACCGTTTGCTGTCCAGCTTTAGGTTCACCACAGGCCCAGAGCTGAAAAAGGGAGATTCAAACTTTCCAAGTAGAAAAAAGCAATAGGCTTAAAAGGCAGGGACAATCTTTTCCATTCCCAACACCCTGGCAAGTTCCAAGGAGGAAGGCCAAAATTCCAGAGCTACAGAAATGCTCCCTGCTCTAAATGGAGAAAGGCAAAGAGCCTTAGAGGCATGGAATAGGTGGAATAAAACTAAGGCTGCACTGGCTGTTTGGTGAAGGCACAAATGACTTTATCCCAGGAAAGAATAAAATGTAGGGTACTTTGTTGGTCACTTTCATGTATACTATTTTGTCTTCCCAATTACCTTGAGAAGTAATGATTACAGCCATTTTACAGATGAGGAAATACATCAGAGACAGCTAGTAATTTTCCCAAGGTCAGACAAATAGGAAGTAGTAAAATCTGAATTTAAATTTGTAATTTCTCCTTTCTTCCCCCGTTCAACCCCAGTAGGGGAAGGCTTTGGCCACTGCCTTGCTCCTCCCTCCTTCCCACCTCCTCCCTCCCTATCTAGACAGAACCTGAAGCCCCATCTGCCTCGGCTGATCCTGGCCATGTATGAAGCAGTGGTGGCACCTCCTTCAGCCCACCCCACTTCACACAGCGCCTGGCAGAGCACAGCAGGCACTCGAGAAACCTGAGCTGATTTCCTTCCTTAAATTTGGGCCCTTCAGCAGCTAAGGAGCTGTGTGCGCCCCCTGCTGGAGAGCTGAGATTGCTAGCCACACAAGTTTCCATTAGGTTTTGAAGGGAAGCTTAAACAAAGACACACAAAGAGAGGGCGGCTCAACAGCAAATGCAGGCATTTATTTCCAGCATAAAACCTACAGAGGTGGGGGACCAGCTTAATGCCAGAGCCCACTGCCGCTTACACAGGGGGGTACTCACAGGTATGGGCAGGAGGAGCCTGGGCCGTATGGCTTGCTGCCTGGCAGGATATTGATAAGATGTGTCTATGATCAGGCCATTTTTTCAGTGGGATGTGGTAAGAGATGTTCCTTGGACCTTTGCCTAGCAGAATATAATAGGAATGTTCCTTCAGTTGGGCTTTTGCCCCCTCAGGGCATGATAAGGATGTTTTTCTCATGGCCCAAATCCCTGTGGAGTGTTTCACTTTGACCAAGGTCTGGGAAATGGTCGGGGGCTTACAAAATGGTGCAGTTTGGACTAACATTCTTGCCTTCTACTTTGATATAAAAGGAAGAGCCGGAGAGCTGAGATCACTACCTATCCCCCCAATACCTGTGCCCTCCAGAAATATCATCCCGGCACTAGCTCATGCCGTCTCCTCTAATCCCTTCCCAAGTCCAACATCAAATTGGGAACTGGACAACCTGGGCTGTGCTCCACTTAACAGTAAAGCAACACTGCAGTCATGGTTGCTCAACTTTAGTAAACATGCCAGCTAGAGTTAACATACCATAAAAGCACCTCACAAAGGTGTTGTGAGGGTCCTGAGATATTCGCCCAACAGTGCTCAGTAATGGTAAAACACTGGTTTTCACGTGTTCCGCTGGGGGATGGTGTGTGTGAGTTGTAGTTCAATGGATGATGTTGGGCTGGTGTCCAGGACATGGCAAAGCTATCTGCTACCTTGATTGTCACACTCTCTGATGTGGCTTGGCCCTGGTGGGATCCTGGTAGCTGACAAATACGTACGGCTGGTCTTTGGAAGCTTCTGAAAACTTTTTAAAAACTACTTTATTGAGATTTACCATAAAATTAACCCATATGAAATAGACAATTCAATAATTTTAGTGTATTTAGAGTCATGCAGCCATCACCACGATCTAATATCACATCATTTCCATCATTCCCAAAGAAACCTTGTAAGGACAGTCAGCCCCTGTCCCCACCCCAGCCCTGATCACCTCCAGTATACTTTGTGTCTCTATAATGGCCTATGCAGGACCTCTCGTATCAACAGAATCATAGGGTGCCATCTTTTTCTGAGTAGATGAATTTTACTCATGCTCTCCATTTTTTGGTTTGTTCCTTCACTTATTCATCACTCATTCATTCATTCTAGAAACTCTCATGGAGAGTCTTTTATGTTCTGGGTATTGCCTCACTTGTGTCTAATGAATGCACTTGAGCCCAGTAATAATATCACTACGGATTTGTGGTTATGAGTTTTAGGTTAGAAAAGCTTTTTAGGTTAGGACACACTCCTCAGTCTGATGCACATTGAGCATGGTTATCCACGCACATTTTCAATCAGAGGAGATACTTGGTTTTTGGAAGGTTTAGGGCCTCTTCTGCCAGTAGAATCTTCTGGTTCTGCCCAACACTGACTGGCCACAGCTTCCTCCTAGAGGACTGGTGGAGAGCAGCAGAAGCTAACGGGAGGTCAGCATGACTGAAGCTGCTTCTCCCTGTTCCCCTGCAGGGTACAATGCTTGGAGGTGCTTTTGTGGGCTCTCCCAGCCCCGGAATTTGGCACAGCTTAGCCAGGTGCTGAAAAACCAGGACTTGGCAAGGAAGTTCCTGAATCTGTATGGGACACCTGACAACATTGACATCTGGATTGGGGCCATCGCGGAGCCTCTTTTGCCGGGGGCTCGAGTGGGGCCTCTTCTGGCTTGCCTGTTTGAGAACCAGTTCAGAAGAGCCCGAGCCGGAGACAGGTAAGTGACCCTATCATAAAAGACATCAGCACCAGAGGCAGAGCAGAAAATCACTCTAGCGTTTCAAGACTAAACATTGGAGAACACTGCTCTTTTTAGTGTCATTTCTTCTGAGTTCACAGGATCTGAATCAGGAGGCTCCTCTCTGGAAAGCTGGGTCAAAGAGAGAGAGACACTGACCCAGGCAAGGACCATATTGCCTGAGCTGGAGTCATCTTAAACCCAGGAGCTAGATTGGCAGCCTCACTGTTCTGGGTTGGTCCCAGAAAACAGGGGCAGAAAGGGCTAAATCTGGTTTCCCTCCAATAATTTTGTGATTAAAGACCTGACTCACTTGGAGTTGGTATTGCCTGAGTTCAAATTCAGCCCTGGCCACTTAAATTACTGTGCACTTAATACCGCACAATTTATTTGGCCACTAAATTTGTTTCATTTCTAAAATTCTAATCTTGCAGGAATTTTGTGAGAATTGGAATAATATATGTAAAGTACCTGGCACACAACAGGTGCTCCTCCCCAACCTTCACCCACATCTCTTGACCGCCTGGTAGGTTCTGGTGGCAGAAACGAGGTGTTTTCACCAAAAGACAGCGCAAGGCCCTGGGCCGAATTTCCTTGTCTCGAATTATATGTGACAATACTGGTATCACCACGGTTTCAAAGGACATCTTCAGAGCCAACATCTACCCCCGGGGCTTTGTGAGCTGCAGCCGTATCCCCAGGTTGAACCTGTCAGCCTGGCGAGGGAGATGAGACTTCTGCAGGTAAGGAGAGGCCGCCTCCAGCACCCTGGGCTGGGTCAAGCCGTCACAACCTTCCCTGGATAGATGGCTGAGTCCTCTTAGGTCTCTAAGCAGAGAAAACTGAACTTGTCACTAGGGACACAGTACTTTTTCCAAGTGGCTTCCCCATGTGCTAACTTCTGGGCTGACAGTCAATCCCAGGCCCAAGGACTTCGGGGGGAAATTAGTAGGCGTGTCCAACTATCCTCAGCTTGGTCACTAATACCTGAAAACAGCTCCATTTCTAAATGTCCAGTAAATTCCTCACTTATCCAATTCTGTTACTTCCACAGGAGTCCATCCCAAGCCTCCAACCTTTGGAGACAAAGGGAAGGGGAGGACCAAGAGGCTCCCTTCTCCCCGTGGAGCAACTGCAGCCTGCTGATGCTTCTGCTAGCTATAGCTCAGAGCTGGGTTCCCTGGCTAGGAGTGAGAGCTGGGGGCTCCTATCAGCAACGGACCTTCCCACCTTAGGAGCCTCTTAGGTATTAGGTTATGAATCAGTGCCATGTGCAAAGGCTTGGGAGCCAAGCCATGTGATCTTACAGCCCAGGCAAGAAGAGTCAGCTGGAGGGTTTACAGCACTTTCTACTGTTTCCTAGCCCTCCCTCCCCTTCCTCACCATGACTGAGAGACCATACAGTCCTAGCCTCCAGACACCCCACAATCCTCCTCTGAGCCTGAGGCTGGGCAGCATGCTCTGCTTCTACCAATAAAGCACTGCTAAGGGCAGGGGCTGCTGTTTCTGTGCTGGGCTAGGGAGGACGTGGCCCCAGTTCCATGCTTTGCTCCAGATGTTTAAGAGAAGTGCTGCTAACATGCAAGCTGGCACTACCATCTACGCCTCTCCTAGGGGCTGAATTAGGAGGGCCAAAGAAACACTGTGGGGTAGGGAAAGGCAGAAAAGGGGGAGGGAAGACATGGTAGGGGCCCTGACATTAAGAACACCCCAGCCACACCAGCAACCTGAACAGACAAACAGCCAACAGAACATCAGTCAAAATAAAAAGGGTCTATATTTATATATAACAGTAAAAGATAACACCCAGCTAGCAGAAAGGACTGGGCATTGCCTTCAGCCTTCACTTACTCAGAAATAAGTCATATCTCAGCCTCAGCAAGCTCCAAGCAGTGTAATGAGGCTGTTCTGGAAGGAGGAGGCTGAGACTCACAGGCTGGGGATTTAAGAACCTTCTCACCATCCAGCTTCCTTCTTTGGTCTTGGAAGAAGGAAGTCTCCATTTTTAAAGGCTGGAGAACAGGAAATCCCTGCATCTCCCCACTACTGTGAGACAAGCCAGAAAAGTGAGTCAAGGACAGACTTACTATGGGGTCACCCCAAACTAATTTCAGACCAAAATGCCTGCCTTGCTGTGATGCCTGTTCACAATGGCTGCAACATGACGGGGGCCACAGGGTCTCTGGCTTTATTTCCACAGAGCAGGGACAGGACCCCGCAGAAGGCTAGGCAGAGTGGCCAGCTGGGAATTTCCCAGTTCTTCTGGTTCTCAGCAGACCAACGTGGTCTCTAATCAGAAAGATGAAGAAGCAGGAGGGCACTGGCCTCCGATAGCTCTCATCTTGTCCATTTGCACTGTGGGCCAAGGCTGCCATGAACTAGGAGACCAAGGCTCCAGAGGTGCTCACTAGGTCCTGGGGGAGGCTTTCCCGGGCCTCCTGCATGCGGCGCCGGGCTCGACGGAAGGCCTCTGTAAGGAAAGGAGATATGATATTCAGCTGCCACAGTGCAGAGAGAAACAGGCCGGTGCTGGCCCGGGGTGGCCAGCCGGGGAAGGGGACATACCCAGCACATTGTAAATGGAACTCTGCTGGCTGAACCCTTCCAGACGGTCCAACACGCTCCGCATCCTTTTCCGAAGGGAACTCGATTCCATGAAGGCCCTGCAGGGAGCCCAGCCACATGGTTACGGCTGCTCTCCAGCCCTCAGGGGTAAAGTGCCCCAAGGCAGAGGCCCAGGTCACTCACCTGGACTGCTGCAGACAGTGCAAGCGGAAGGTGACAGTGCCTGTGGTCTCTGTGCGGAGTCCAAAGCGGCTCAGGCGTTCCCCCTGCGGCATGCCGTTGAGACAGCATCAGGTTTCTGCAGTCTCTCTAGATACCCCTGCACCATTCTGGCCTCCCTCCCATTCTTGATCCCATTCTTGGGATGCACAGTTCTGTTGGGGAAACCTTATTCCATCACCTAGACTCTATCACCTCAAGGCTAATACTGAGTTCCCCCAACTAAACCAGGGAACAGTCCAACCTCATTGGAGAAGTAGCAGTCTTACACGCTTACTCTGAGTCCTCTCCACATCTGATTATTGAGGCCCTCAGTGACAGGGGAAAGAAAGGGTCAGTTATTCTGATGGGGACCAGGGGAAATCTCTAAGTATACTATTTTCCAGAGCCCTCCTACGATAGCACTGTAGATATTGGAACATGGTTCAAACTGTGGTCATGAATTCCAGCTTAAGCCACAGGAAGGAAGGAGCTAAGTAATACTGAAGCAATGCGCAACTAAGGGGTCTTGACCCAGATCCCACCGCCTACAGAATAGAAAGGCAGGATCTTAAGTTCCCAGTATGAAGTCACTCCAAAGACAAAAGTCACCTTGAAGGATCCTGGTATCCGCACATAGGAGAGGTCCTCCAGTTCCAGAGAGCCGCCAATGAAAAACCTCCTCAGCTCAGCCACCGTGCCCAGTTCCACAGGTCTCCACGTAGAGACTGTCAGGGTGTGTGAGCCTGCATAGGGGAATAGGAGACGGGGGCCGGGTCCAGAACGGGCATGTGACCCCTCAGTGACTCCCCAGCAATGATACAGGCCTAGACTCAGCTAAAACACCTGATCTGGTGATCACCTGGCCTCTGGTGAAGGTTATCATGGTTACCCAGAGCACCTGTTTGGAAATCGATCAGGGAGAAATTCCAATCTCAGCTCTGCCAGCTATTACCTGCATGCCCAGGACAGGTTTCTTAACCTCTCTGGACCTCATTCTCCTCATCTAGTAAAATGGAAACACCACCCGCACCTTACAGAGTGGCTGGGAGAATTACATGAGAAGTATGGCACAGAGTCTGGCACACAGCAAAAGACGGATGCTTTTATTTCAAACCGAATGCTGATTCATTCAATACACACAGGCTCTGAGCCAATTTTGCCATACAGCTTCTCACCCTGAGTCCAATTAGAGGAGCACGAAGCACATGGAGAGACTGTCAGGAAGTCAGTGCCAAGGCCACATCACTTCTAATTCCCAATTATCCCCACCCCTCACCAGATGCATTTGAGTGTTAGTCTTGCTCTTAGGGCCTAGGGCATGTGGGCCACAAGAAGGGTGGGGACAAGCAGTTACCTGGAGTGGCAGGCAGCACCACAGCCCCATAGCCTTCTACACGGTACCTCTGCCAGAAGTCCAGTGAGAGGACCTCACAGTACAGCACAGGCCACTCCGGGAGCGCATCTGGGAGCAATGAGAAGTGGCCAGGTCATAGGCGGCCTTCACCAAGGTAGCACTGCTTGAGGGGAACCAAGGCCCAGATCAACCACTGAGCTACTCACCAGTGGATTCATCCTCATGGAGGAAGAAGGCTTCAAACGTGAATGGGTAGGAGAAGTAAGCCACCTTGTCCTATAAAAAAGAGTGTCATGGGGTGGGCAAGGCCTCCCTTGGAATTTGTTCTCCTTGTGGCCAATGACAAGGTTATCTTCACAAGGGAAAAAGAAAAATTATCACCCAGGTGGGAAATGGGAGTCTGAGAGGCAAAGGGACATCCAAATACAAGCTGCTGCCATCCTCAAAAAGGCAGACAGAGGACCTCCGGACCAGGTAGCTCTGCAGAACCCACACTCAAGTCACCCAACTCTGGAATCCTCCCCAGGTGCACAGCACTTGGCCTGATAAAGCTGCAAATGCCATCCCAGGAGCAGATGTCACTCCCTTCCAGATGCCTGCTCTTATTCTCCATACCATTCCTAGGGATTTGGTGGCACAGGTCTGTGTTACTCCTGAGAGCTGCTGGAATGCTGGGCTTGACCAGTCTGAAAGCCAAAGACCAGATATAGTAAGCTCACCTGGGAGGAAAGCAAGTAGTTGAGAAAAAGACAAAGTTTCTGTATTCATGTATTCACACAATCATTCATTTACCATTCACTGAGTGCCTGCTATGTGCTAGTATATCTTGGGGATATCTTGGTAACCAAATAGAAAAGATCGCCATCTCTCTTGGAGCTGACATCCTTGGCGAAGCAGGGAGACGGACAAAAAACAAGCAAACAAGAGACTACTGGGTAGCGATGAGTGCTATACTAAAAATAAAACGGGGAAGGGACTGAGTGACTGGGAGGCTCATTTGAACTGGGTGGTCAGTCCAATGAGCCTGTCTCAGAAGTGACACAGGCTGAGACCTAAACTCAGAAAGAACCAGCCGTGCTAAGATATGGCAGAAAGGGTTTCAGACAAAGGAAATGGCCCTTAAAAGGTGGTAATGAATCTGGCTGAGAAGAATGACTAGAATGTTGTCTGGAAGAGATAGGCAGGGGCCAGCTCATTCAGGCTATGGAGTTTCTGTTTTACTCTAAATGGGAAGGGAAGCTGTTGGGCTTCTCAGCTCAAAAGGGACACAACTTGTTTACATTTTTTAAGTCTCAATTTGGCTTTGGTGTCTGTGGCAAATAAACTGCAAATGGGAGCAAGGCAGGAAGCTGGAGGATAAGTCAGAAACCGAAAGCACTGGCCTAGGCCAGAGATGGTGGTGGCGGCTTGGAGTGGGGTGCTGGAGAGAACAGATAGGCTCACAACGGCTTTTGAAGAAAGAACAGACAGGAACTGTTGATAGACTGGCTGGCTGTAGGAAACTAGGGAAAGTGGGGTCAAGGATGTCCCCTAGGTTTTTGGCATCAGCAGCTCAGTAGATGACACTGCCATTGTTAGGATGGGGAAGACTAGGGAGGGGAGGTTTGAGGGAGGAGGAGAAATTAAGAGTTCTTTTTAGACAGAAATGACAAAGAAGTAACTGGATATGAGTCTAGAGTCCAGGGGAAAGGTTAAGGCTAGATGCAGAAACCCAGGAGTCTGAGAAATATGGATGGTATTTAAGCCATGGGATGGATGAGGTTGCCCAGGAAGACTGCAGACAGAGAGCAAGAGAAGGCCTTGGCTTAGCCATGGGTACTCTCACAGTTTAAGATCAACAGAAGGGAAGACATCACCCAAGGAGCCTGAGGGGCCACCAGCGAGACAGGAGAGAGAAGTGTGGAGCCAGAAGTCAGAAGTGTGTCGTGCAGCGCATTGGGCTCTGGCAAATACTTCAGGAAGGTCAAGAGAGGTGAAAGCAGGGAAGCCCACTGGGCTTGGCAAAGTGGATGTGATCTATGACCTTGGAAAGAATAGTAACGATTTCAGCAAAGGAGTGGGAAAGGAAGTCTGACCAAATGTCTGAATGGGTAGAAAAGGAGAGACTTAAGAATATTACTTACTAGTAGCTGGCAGTTCCACAAAGAAGTGAACGTAGAGATTGTCATACTCATAGCCTTGGGCTGAAACTAAGAGAGAAAACAGGAAGCGATTTTAGCTCATTTTTTTACCACGCTTAGCACCCAACCCAGTCCTGAGGGGCCTACACACCCTGAGAGCAACTCTTTTGAGGGCCAGGAACTCTCTGCGTTTCCAGGAAGGACATATCACTGTTTCCCAAGTACGGCAGACAGGCCTCTACCAGGGTGGAGGAGACTATTCACAGCTCCATCTACGCACGTGCTAAGCATCAAGAGGTCTATGTCTAGCAAGACACTTACCTACCTCTCCATTTACGAAGAGCCGGAGGGCACCTGGAACAGTCTAAAGTGAAGAGAAGTGGGAAAAGATCAGCAGGCCTGGAGGGTATCGGCACTTCTCCTCCAGCCCCATCTACAAATCTGCAGAATACACTGGGTGTCAGACCCTGGCTGTCACTACTCCCCACCCTGACACTTCTCCATAGATCTGTTTCCTTCATTCCTAAGATTCATAATGGAGGGAGAAAGTACATAATTTAAATGGCAGTGAGGACAATGCATTATGGGAAATTAGCCAAGCAACAGCAACCGCCCTATGGTGTGCAATGGGAAGCCAGAATGCCCTGCTCTTTTTAGATGGTCGAGGTCAAGAAACCAGGGAATTTTCTTTTTTAGTTATTTGTTTATCTGTCTTATCTAACTTTTAAATACTGAATGTCTGTTGCTTATGCAATATGAAAATAGTGAAGGTTAACTTTTTAGAGAAAGAGAGGGAGACCAGTAAGTAATCCCATTCTTGTTTCGGGTTCTAGAAATGGAACTCTAAATAGAATGAGAAAAGACAAAGAACAGCACCACAGAATAACTGACCTAAACCGCTTTTCTTTCTTTGTTTTTTTGAGACAGAGCCTTGATCTATTGTCCAGGATAGAATGCAAGTAGTGTGATCATAGCTCATTGCAAACTCAAATTTCCAGGCTCAAGCCATCCTCCTGCCTCAGCATCATGAGTAGCTGGGACTACAGGCATGCACCATCACATCTGGCTAATTTTTTTATTTTTGATTTTTGTATAGATGTGGTCTCACTATGTTGCCCAGGGTGGTCTCAAACTCCTGGCCTCAGATTACCCTTCCACCTCGGCCTTACAAAGTGCTGGGATTGTAGGCATGAGCCACTGCATCAGTCCTATATTTTTTAAGAGCCAAAATATGTGACAAACAGAAATGGCACCCCTGCCTCTCTATGGGGTATTTTGGAAAATTATCCACATGAAAGGTGAAGAAGACATTTTTCATCTTTATATTTATTTTCTAAATTAATTATAAAGTCATACATAAATACGTTATCACTGATAAACATTGAGAACTACCTAAGTTTAGGGACTCAAAAGCAAAAATCCCTAATATATCCCTCTCACCACCCACTACCCATCTACCACATTCTTTTTTTTTTTTTTGAGACAGAGTCTAACTTTGTCGCCAGGCACCAGGCTGGAGTGCAGTGGCACAATCTTGGCTCACTGCAACCTCCGCCTCCCGGGTTCAAGCAATTCTCCTGACTCAGCCTCCCGAGTAGCTGGGACTACAGGTGCGTGCCACCACGCCCAGCTAATTTTTGTATTTTTAGTAGAGACCGGGTTTCACCATGTTAGCCAGGATGGTCTCGATCTCTTGACCTCAACATCCGCCCACCTCAGCCTCCCAAAGTGCTGGAATTACAGGCTTGAGCCACCGCGCCCGGCCCCATCTACCACATTCTAATCCCACCCTCCTCAGAGAAAGCTACCAACAGCACATGTGTAGCCTTTCAGACCTTTTTCTAGGCATTAACAGTTCTAGATCAACATGCACTGTTTCAAAACACATAACGAGGACTCTGTGTGCTATTCTTTGACTTCCTTTTCATACCGTAGGGTATACTTCAAACCTCTAAGAGAGGTGTTATAACTCATCCACAGTCAGAATGCTCTGGCTAAACACAACTGCCAATGCTGCAGGAAGCCAAGCTACTTACCAGCTCAAAGTCAGTGCCTACGAGGCTGCTGAGATACTCCTTGTGCCGGCCATAAAGCTGAGGAAACAAACCAAACCAAAACTCAAGATGCAACCCAAGCTAGACCAAAGTTCAGCTCTGAACGGGGAGAAGAAGAAAAGCAATCACGGGAAAGGTCACCAAGAGCTGGAGGCCTAAGCACCTGACCCTCCGACATTTCACTGTGAAGCACAGAGGCTCTGGAGTCAGCTGGTCTGGGATGGAATCCTGACTCTCGTGCTGACAAGCTATATTAGCTCCTCAATCTCAGTTTCCCTGTTTACAAGGTGGTAAGAAAAAAAGTGTTTACCTCAAAGGGTTATTGTAAGGACTAAAGGAAATAAGATATGGTAAGTACGTAGCACAGAACATGGTAAATGCTCAAATAAATGGTTATTATTATTACTGTATGATCAGAAACTTCAGTCTGACATATCAGCAATGCTGCCTAAGTCAGAAGGGGCTATGAAGGGCAAGGCTTTTCCCAAGCAACTGCTGACATCTAGCTCAGACATGGTCTCAGCTCCAGGTACTGAGGCTCCTCCCTTTGATTCTCGGAATGAACTTGCGCTTACATCCTTGAACACTCGCCGTTCCCGCTCCTCCTCCTCCGGCTGTGCAAGGGGGGACACATTGTCGATCGTGTACTTCCACAGCTCCTGCTTCTCCCCCTCTGTCTCGATCCTGTAAGGTCAAAGCCACAGAAAGGAGGAACTCTGGTCATGAGAGATGCACCCTCCGGCTCCAGCCCAGGGATGAGCTAGCAGGGTCCATACACGTCACCTGAAGTATATGATGATAAACATGGCCGTAATGACGACTGGGAGAGGGAAACAACAGGGTAAAGCAGAGAGGGCACAGACTAGACTCAGAAAGTATAGGTTCTGGGCCCATTTCTGGCTTGAAGTCACCGTAAGGCATAACATTCCTCACACACAGTTCTCTCACCTGAAAAATGGACAAGTTGGTCCAGATAATTTCTAATTTACAGTTCTGTCATTTCCAAGACACAGAGATGAGGAACAGTCAGCCCAGAGGAAAAGCCTGGCTGAGTTCACCCCACTCTGTTCTGGTCAGATCCTATATTCAGCAGCACAGAGAATCACTGTCCCTTAATTGCACCACTGAAGTGAACCCTTTCAAATTGGCGCAGTTGCACATTTTCTGAGAACAGGGTCCCCAGTTTTCTAAGGGCCTATGACACAGAACAGAATATGAACCATTGCCTGGGAATGTCAAAGTGAGAACAAATGAAGGACTTTCTGACAGTCTAGTTGACTAGGGACAAGAAGCGCAACTAAGGGAAGGAAGGCCAGTCTCCATTACCCCTTTCTTCCTCTCCTTACCTGTAGGGTCCTTTGAGGCCCGTGAAGTCAGGCTTTACTGTGATCACACCATTGCTATCCACCTTCAGAGTACACAGGACGTGTTCATACTTCTTATAGCCAAGCCTAGAAATCAGGAAAACACCAAGGTCGAGGGTCACTGGTCTTCCAGGGAAAGAGGAAGAGCTACTGAGCCTACTTCAGGGGAGAAAACAGAGGCCATAGGGAGAACTGACATGGTAAAACTTTCTTCTAAGTACAACTAAGAAAAAAAGGAAGAAAAAGTCCCTCCCTCCCCCATAACCCAGGATGATGATAACAGGAAGAGGATAGCTGGTGAGAGGAGAAGAGGTTGAGGATCTGGGCTGGCAGTGGGAAGCTTCACTCACTTTTTACAGGGCCCCAGGTCTGCCATGATGTGCATCGTCTGAAGAGGGGTGTTAATGACATGGTTGTTCCTGACGAACTCCTCTGAGGGCTCCCAGGTGACAATGCGTGACTTGAGGATGCCGCCCTCCCTGGGAAACACCACAGAAAGGTCACTTCCCTGGCACATCCCGATGGAGCATACCCCAGCAGAGAGCAAAATACTTGACAAACAGAAATGACATCCCTTCCCTCTCTCTGAAGCACTTTGGGAAAATGTCCACATGAAGAGTGAGGAAGACATTTTATATTTATTTTTTAAATTAATTACAAAGTTAATACTTGAATACTACATATAACCACTGATAAAAATTCAAAACTACCTAATTTTGGGAAATAAAAAGTAAAAGCTTGCCCCCACCCCATGCCTGCACTCACATCCCTCGCCTGTCCTGCCGGCGCCGCCTGACGTTTGCCATTCGCTCCACCAAGAATGAAGGCACCTCGCTGGCTGCGGTGGTCATTCTCTGACAGTGCTGAGAAAAGCAAGTAGCCCTGTGTAAGCCATCTGGTCAGGGCCACAGGGGGCCAAGTACCTGAAGGGAAGTCTTCCTTCTGAAACCTCATCAGGGCTTGAACCCCACCTCCGCTGCCTCACAATTATATAGGCCAATGGAGGGCCAGTGGCCAAACAACCCAAAGATGACTTCTACCATGTCTTGGTTTGCCTTTGGATTTTAAAAATGAGTGATTTATGTGAATATTAAAATCGGTCTGCAGTCTCTGAGCACAAACCAACAAAAAGTTGGGTTGGTTTGCTTGGTAGATGTTGAAGTTAACAAGGTAGTTAGACAATGCCAAATGGGATACAAGTATTTTGTGGGAAATCCTCACATGGTAACTGAGCACCAACTGCATTTTTATTTGCTTTTCCAAAACAGACAACCCAAATTTTATTTAATTTATATTATTTTTTTAAAGACAGGGTCTCACCCAGGCTGCAGTACAGTGGTACTATCATAGCTTACTGCAACCTTGAACTCCTGGGCTCAGGTGATCCTCTTGCCTCAGCCTCCCAAGTAGCTGGGACTACAGGTGCATGCCACCGTGCCTGGCTAATTTTCAACCCAAACTTTATATGTTATCAATCCACAGCTCTACTAATGAAAGCATGACAATCTTTCCAGAACATTTGTTGAATACCTGTTCCTTGCAGAGACCTATAGAGTCATAGACAAAAATCAGAAAATATAGGCTCTACCCTCAAGAAGTTTAAAATCTTCCTGAGAAGACAGAAGCAACTGAAATGCAGTGACTAAAGAAAATGTAAAACGAGGTCGCAAGGGTATTTTTGTCATAGGCAAACTGAGGACATAAGCCATTTTCCATAGCTATACTGAATTACTCTTCAAGCCCATATACTCAGAGTTTGGGCTGAATCCCCTGATAAATTTTATCTGGATTGTTCTAGACTCTAGCACCTGTCTCATTTCATGATGGATGGAGGAAGTCAAGCCCAGTGGTCACTTCTCCTAGCATGCACTCTACAAGCATATAATCAGAGATAATGGCAGCTCCCCTAGGCCCTTCAGCAGGCAGAGAAGAGAGCAGCAGCCCCACCACCTATAGACTGTGCCCATGCTATTCCAGCCTGGCTGCCAGCAGCAGCAACTCACAGCAGTTTCTAGGTAGGCTACTGTCTCCCCTTACCAGGCTTCTGACGTAACACACAGAAACCCAGTGAGGCAAAAAAAAAAAAAAAAAAAACTAGTGGAAGCAAAGATGAAAGCTATGAGACCCTGGAAAGAACAATACCTCCTCCAAATTGGTGTATCTATCAGAGTCAGTGTAGGTAAAGATTCGTCGGTTCTTCTTGCCACCCGAATTCTCCAGCTTCAGGATCTCCTGACGGTACTGATAATCCAAAGGACTCTGACAGGCCGCTTCATTTTGGTACAGATCTACTTCAAACTGAGGTCACCAAAAGGAAACAGATGTGTACATCACTGTAATACGTCAAGCTTTTTCTCCTATAACTGTTTAATCAAATCAGTTCTACAGAGTTGATGCTATCTGACATATTTTCATAAAAACTAATGGATGGCAGGGGAGCCAAGAATATGAGAGTTAAAAGGAACCAGACTAATGGGTAGACTAATGGTCTAAACCAAGTCGCTATCACAGACGACATATAGTCGAGAGGTGAAAAGTGCCTCTTCCAGAATCATAAAACTGAGTAGTGGCAGTCCCTATGTCATACTGTCCCTTAAACTGTTACAATCTGTCTAGAAATCAGTTTGGCAATATGTATCCCCAGCCACGTGAAGGTACACCAGGTGGAATAGACAGAGCAGACAGAAGACACTGGCTCACCTGGCTAAAGAGCTTCTCCTGCCACCCAATCACAATCTCTTCCTCTTCGTCTTCCTCTGGGCGGTGTCCACCTCCAAAGACAACAGAGTGGGTCAAATGCTTGAGCCAGACCAGCACCACTTCTTGCTCTGTGGCTGATTATAACCAAAGTCCCTATTCTTGTATTTGCCACAAAAACCAGCTGGAGTTCAGCAACTTATTAAACACTCAATCTAGAGAAATGCTAGAGAGGCTGTATGAGCAGAAGCCAAGGTTAGGACCCAAGAAATCTTAATCACTGCTTTAATTTGAATAAAAGGAAATACGCTCTAGGAATTTTTTTTGTGGGTGGGATGGAGTCTCACTCTGTCACCCAGGCTGGAGTGCAGTGGCACTGTTTCGGTTCACTGCAATCTCCACCTCCTGGGTTCAAGCTATTCTCCTTCCTCAGCCTCCCAAGTAGCTGGGATTACAGGCACACTCCACCAACCTGGCTAATTTTTGTATTTTCAGTAGAGATGGGGTTTTGCCATGTTGGCCATACTGATCTCGAACTCATGACCCGCCTCAGTGATCCACCCGCCTTGGCCTTCCAAAGTGCTAGGATTACAGGCATGAGCCACTGCACCCAGCCTCCTCTGGGAAATGTTTAATCTAACTGGATATAAGAAACTGAAATTTAGATATAATCTGAATAGCCAGCGCTTCCTCAGTCCCAGATGTCTGCGTTTGCTAGAAAATAACCCTGGCATTTTTACCTTTACTATTTCTAAAGCCATACATGTAGAATCACAAACACTGAAATTTAGGAGGCCAAGTATCAGGAGAGGACAGTGAAGGCAAATAAATGATTTTTTTTAACAGAACCAAATCTGGCTGGGCACAGTTACTCATGCCTGTAATCCCAACATTTTGGGAGGCCAAAGTGGGAGGATCACTTGAGCCCAGGAGTTTGAGACCAGCATGGACAACACAGTAAGACCTCTCCTCTGCTAAAACTTTTAAAAAAATCAGCTGAGTGTGATGATATGAGCCTGTAGTCCCAGCTACTTGGGAGGCTGAGGCAGGAGGATGGCTTGAGCCTCAGAGACCAAGGTTATAGTGAGCTATGATCATACCACGGCACTCCAGCCTGAGCGACAGAATGAGATTCTGTTTCAAAACAAAACAAAACAAAACAAAAACCCAGATCTAATCTAATATACTCTTGGCTGGCTGAGTATGCCTTTTTCAGAGACACATGTTTCATAACCCATAAGCCCACACTCTTGCCCATGAACAGAAAGAGAAACAATAAAAGCAGACAGACTAGTGACCTAATACGAGCACTCTGTACTCTCCTCCTCAATCTTTTGGTGTCTCAGATAAGGAAAACCACAAGAACACAGTTGATGTTCATATGCACATCATATGCATATTTTTCAAGCAATCTCCAATTTCAAAGTTGTTTTTAGAAGTGTGTATATGTGTATTTAGAGTTTGGGGCACGGTTTCTCTTTTAAAAATGCCACAAATAGTATGGAAGCTGCCAGGCAAATCTATAACATATCATAAGTATAGTATTTATCTCACTATGTTTGGCCACAATTCTGATTAGTATCAGAATTAGTATTAGATGGCACATCACCACCGTAACACCCACTGGCAGTTGGCTGAGGCCTGAAAGTGGCCAAGTCTATGAGGTCCTTCCCCAGCTGGGCAGCAGGCTGATAATGAAGAAAGTGGCTTGATGTGATTCTTTGCAGGCGGACTCTGTCAAGAAAAGAGAAACCCAAAATATTCGTTACCAGACACGCAATCGCGAGATGAGGGAAAAGCAAGGTTGAGGGAAACAAAAGAGAGGAGGTGGGGTTGCCAAGGTGTGCTGGGTGCAGACAATGGAGAGGAGGTGGGTGGGGTGCGCGGTCCTATGGGGAAGGGTGAGGGTGAGAGGGTGTACTGGGGACACAGGGCTCTAAGAAACTAGGAGCGACAATGGACTTGCTTGGGTATGTAAGGGGTTCTTGGAGGCTGTGAGTGGATAGGGTTACGGATAGAGAAGGAAGTGGGGAGCCCGGAGAAGTGGCCGGGATTGTTAAGCAGAAGCGGGCGCCTCAGAACACCGAGTTCAGGGTGGAATGATCTAAAGGCATAAAAGCATGGGGCCTCGGGGCTGGGGCCGTGACTACCGGAGGCGCAAGTTGCGTACGGGGTCCCGGGAGCGATACACAGCCTCCCCGGTGTCAGTGCTCCAGACGGCCTCCGCCATGACAGCTGCGACGCGCTGCGACTGCGCCGGAAAGCGCGCCGCTCTTTTCCCCTGGTAACGAAGGCGCTGGATCCGGAGGCAGCGCAGGTGCTGCGCGCGCAACCCGCCGTTCGCTACGTGGCGCCATCATCGCAGTCGGCCACCCAGAGCAAGCGGAATCCAAGCCGAACGCCCTGGAGGGCTCCGGGGTCCTGCCGATCACCGCTTACGGTGTATGCGAAAAAAGCTCACCCAAAGCGGGACCTTTTGCGCTGTACAACTGAGGAAACTGGCACAGCCATCCGCCCACTTCAAATAGACAGATGCAGAAATGATGACGGGGACCAGGTGACCTGAGTCTTCGCCCTCTGTCTTTTCCACCATGCCACACTGCCTTCCACTGAATGCGTGAAAACTTTGGCCTGAAAGTCGATGGATGTGACTGTAAGAAATGCACCCGGTATTCCCGAAGGAGTCAGGGAAGGTGATTGCCCTTAGCCAGACAAGGAAATATGTTCTTGGAAGGGAAAAAAAGTGTCAGAAGATTAATTAGCCTTTGTGTTGATATTCACTGAGCAAAGAAATAAAGACAGGGAAGTCAACAGTAAGGAAGGAAAAGATGTTATTATTGAACTGGTTCTTGTGTGTATTGGTTCTGGATCATTAAGCCACTTTAAATACTACACTGGCTTCCTGAAAAGCCAAAAAAGTGACATTCATAAGTCATGCTTTGTTGGACTAGCAAAGGAAGGACGTGCCGTAACCTCACGTCTGGTGCCCCAGCACCTTGGGGATGTCAACATTTATCAGCCTTTCACATCTGTTTCTCCTCCAACAAAGTAAGCAATTGTCCTCCAATGAACTCGGGAATCTCATGCCAGTTTGATGATATGGCATTGGAAACCCTGGGTGCCATAGCCACTAGTTGTGTAACACCGACTCACCATAAATAGCACCATTTATTTAGGATCTAGTACAGCTTGAGCACTTTGTTTGCATTGTCCCAAACCCTTGTAGAAGCCTCTAAAGAAAGTATTGTATTCCCTTTAAGCGTGAAGTTCCTGAAGGCCAGGGTTTAAAGGACTCGCTAAGCTTGTAAGTGGTAAAAGTACAGATAAAACAAAAGACACCTTTCTAGCTCCTAAGAAATGGTCTCTCTAATGTTTTCTTTTAAAGTTGTGTGTAGGCAAATTGTGCCACATGCACAACAGCTGATAAAGTGGAGCCTGATTCTAGTTTAATTTTATAACCAAATCCAATTTATAACAAAGTTAATCTGACATAATTATGTGCAAAATAGTTTCTATACGACATGGTTTGGAAATATAAGCTATTTGTGTAAGCAACCATAATTAGTATTATTTTTATATAGATAAACGAAGTATTCATGTTTTGTTTACTGATTTCTATGAATCAGGATCCTTTTTTTTCATTTTATTCAGCTTATTGGTATTAAGTACATTTACATTGTTTTACAACCATCGTCACCATCCATTGCCACTACTTTTTTGTTTTTGAAAATTGAAACTCAGTTCCCACTAAGCAGTACCTCCTCAGCTCCTGGCAACTACGATTCTACATTTTCTGTCTATGAAATTTGACTACTTTAGATACCTAATCCATATTGTAGCATGTGTCAGAATGTCCTTTTTTTTAAATTTTACTTTAAGTTCCAGGATACATGTGCAGAACATGCAGGTTTGTTACACAGGTATACATGTGCCATGGTGGTTTGCTGCACCTATCAACCCATCATCTAGGTTTTAAGCCCCGCATGCATTAGTTATTTGTGCCAATGCTCTCCCTCCCCTTGCCCCTAACCCTGTAAAAGGCCCTGGTGTGTGTTGTTCAACTCCCTGTTTCCGTGTGTTCTCATTGTTCAAATCCCACTTAGGAATGAGAGCATGCATTGTTTGCTTTTCTATTCCTGTGTTAGGTTGCTGAGGATGATGGCTTCCAGCTTCATCTATGTCCCTGCAAAAGACATGATCTCATTCCTTTTTATGGCTGCACAGTATTCCATAATGTATGTGTGCCACATTTTCTTTATCCAGTCTATAACTGAGGGGCATTTGGGTTGGTTCCATGTCTTTGCTATTGTAAATAGTGCTGCAATAACATATGAGTGCATGTGTCTTTAGTGTAGAATGACATATTTCTTTGAGTCTAGACCCAGTAATGGGATTTCTGGGTCAAATGGTATTCTGGTTCTAGATACTTGAGGAATTGCCACACTGTCTTCCACAATAGTTGAACTAATTTATATTCCCACCAACAGTGTAAAAGTGTTCCTGTTTCTCCACAGCCTCGCCAACATCTATTGTTTCCTGACTTTTTAGTAATTGCCATTCTGACTGGCATGAAATAATATCTCATTGAGGTCTTGATTTGTATGTATCAGGATTCTTAAAACTGAGGTCCATGAGTGGGATTCAAGAAGTCTATGAGCCCTTTCCCTAGAATTCTGAATGGGGGATTTTTCTAGAAAGAATTCTTAGCTTTTATCAGATTCTAGAAGGAGTTTGTACCCTGATACGAAGAATGGCATGGGCCAGGCACAGTGGAGGTTAGACCCAGGAGTTTAGACCTGCCAGGGCAACATGGGGAGACCCTGTCTCTAAAAATAAAACAATTAACCAGGGTTGGTGGTGGATGCCTGTGGTCACAGTTACTTGGAAGGATAAGGTGGGAGGATCACTTGGACCAGGAGGTCGAGGCTGCAGTGAAGATAATTTAAAAGGAAGAAGTAAAATTGTGTTTATCTACATACAATGTGAACCTAAACAATCTTGAAGAATCTACAAAAATGCCAGCAGAACTAATGGGGTTACAGAATACAAAGGCAATATACAAAAATCAATAGTATTTCTGTATACTAGGAACAAACCATTTGAACTTGACTTTTAAAAATCACAGCCACTTATAATAACATCAAAAAGCACAAAACAGAAAATTAACTAAACATGTGCAAAACTTGTACACTTAAAACATCAAAACGTTGGTAAGATGAAGACCTAGAGTACTGTAACATATCCATGGACTGGAAGAATCATGTCATTAAGATAATTCTCCTCAAGGTGATCTAAATCTCAGTAAAAATCCCACCATATTTCTTTGTAGAATTGACAAGCTGACTCTTAACATCTACATGGAAATGCAAAGGAGTTACATGGCTAAAAGAATTTTGAAAAAGAAACCTGATTTCTAGGCAATATAAAAGTACAGTAATCACTACAGCGTGGTATTGTCATAAAGATAGACATATAAATTGATGGAACAGTATAAAGAGTCCAAAATAGATCTGTACTTATATAGTCTATCAATTTTTGACAAAGATCCCAAGGTAATTCAATGGAGAAAGGACAGCATTTTCAACAAATAATGCTGGAATAATTGGAAATCCAGAAACAAAACAAACGCAAAGATGAACAAAACTCAACTTCTTACCCTACACAATTTAATGAATTGAAGCAAAATGGATAATAGACTTAAAAGTAATATCTTCAACAATAAAACTTCTAGACAAAAATGTAGGGACAGATCTTTGAGATCCTGAGTTGGGTAAATATTTTCAAAATGTACAAACTATAGAAGAAAAAATCAATTGTCATCAAAATGCAAAACTTCTTTTCTTTGAATCCACTATGAAGAAAATAAAAAGACACCCTGAAAAATATTTGCAAAACACGTGTCTGATAAAGGAATTATGTCTGGAATATATAGTTTTACACTTCATGATACGAGCAATCTTATTTTTTAAATGGTCAAAAGATTTGAACAATTTACTGGAGAATATATATGAATGACATTAATCCAGGAAAAGATACTTGATATCATTAATCATCAGAACATTATATATTAAAAACACAATAAGATACCACAGCACACCTATTACAATGGCTAAAATTTAAAAGTTAGACCACGCTAAATGCTGGTGAGGATGTGGAGCAACTGGAACTCTCATAATTACCTATCAGAATGAAAAATAGTACAGCCACTTTGGGAAACTGCAAGTTTCTTACAAAGTGAAACATTTGTGTACCATATGATCCAGCAGCCTCGCTCCTAAGTATTTACTCAAGAAAAATGACAATATGTGTCCACAAACAGGTCTGTATGTAAATGTGCGTAACAACTTTGCTCGCGATAGTAAAAATGGGAAACAGTCCAAATATCCATCAATGTGTAAATGTTTAAATAAATTGTATAATTGTATAATATCTATACAATGAATTCATACTCCATAATAAAAACAAAGTAACAACTGATACATAAAACTACATGGATGAATCTCAAAATCATTATGCTCAGTGAAAGAAACCAGCCATAAAAGATTATATACTGTACAATATATTTGATGTGAGATTCTTAAAAAAGATTCCAACTGTAGAGATGGAAAATAGATCAGTGGTTGCCAGGGATTGGGTGTGGGGATAGGGGCTGAGTAAAAGGACAGTGTGAGGAAACTTTAGGGGTGATGAGACTATTCTATATCTGTGGTGATGCTAAACAACTTGTTGCATTTGTTAAAAACCTACACAAGTGACGGGGCATGGTGGCTCATGCCTGTAATCCCAGCACTTTGGGAGGCTGAGGTGGGTGGATCATGAGGTCAGGAGTTTGAGAGCAGCCTGACCAACATGGTGAAAACCCATCTCTACTAAAAGTACAAAATTTAGCCGAATATGGTGCTGCACACCTATAATCCCAGCTACTCAGGAGGCTAAAGCAGGAGAATGACTTGAACCTGGGAGGCGGAGGTTGAAGTGAGCTGAGATCGTGCCACTGCACTCTAGCCTGGATGACAGTGAGACTCCATCTCTAAATAAATAAATAAATAAATGCCCACAGCAGTACATATTAGTGAGCAAATTTTACTGTGTGTAAATTATAAACTATTTACCAGGTTGTGAGGGGTACTTAAAATGGAATGCAGACTATGGCAAACGACTATTTTGGGTGAAAACTGAAGGATACAGACAGAAAGATCTGTCCACAAACACCGTACTGTAGTTGGTAAGTTTGTTCTTCAGAGGGGTTGGGTTAGCAATTTCTAAAGCTACTTTACATATGTACTAGCACTAAACA